CTTTTACGAACGTTATCCTGTCACATGTTTCCACATATCAAGTACGGTTGAATGAAAATTGAGACACTTAAAAACTCAATATAAGCACATGGAAACTGTGGTAAATGTCGTCATCGCAAGTACTTGAGTGCAACGATTAGGGAATACAGATCAGTTGTTTAGACGGCCATGGATTTGTTGGACACGAAATTGCTTATCAATAAATGTTGGATGTTATTAAACACAAATTAAGTCCAACAAAATTATTGCCATTTGTAATGGAAACCGTGAATGATTGAAATGATTCATTTTCGATAAACTATATGAACGCATTGTAGTAAAATGTCCAGATGACACATTTTGCCTTCTAACTTATCAGTTTCTAAAGTGGTAGATAGTGGTTCTTTCATATTGTGCTTAGTTTACGTCCAATTATCCATCATGTATATCTAGGAAGTACAAGAGGTAATTCGTTTTTTAAACGAACATTGAAGGCGTATTGCTGAACATGCAAAAGTTATTTTCTCTTATTATAATGGATATTTTGGTCACCCGTCGATATTGTCAGATAATTTCCATTTAAACATTAAGATTAAAACAACAGAGTTCAGCGAAGAGATCACTTTTCAACGAACTTATTATCAAGCTGTACAATCGTATATATATGAAAATCGATATCTCAAACCAAGATTCCATCACACGGACGTAGTACCAAATTATGGCAAACGGAATAATCTCACTTGTGTAATTCCGTGAGACAGTGATGAGACTAGTCGAAGATGCTTCTCGACAGTTTAGGAATGGAACAAACAATATTTTAGATATTCTTTAATTAACCTACATTGACGGTCTCAGTGATCCTGTAAGTGGTTCTCTAGACGTGTTACGTATGTGTGTGTGACTGAGAAATTTAGTAGGTGGTCAGAAACTGTTTTGTGTCACAACAAACAGATTCTGACTCTGAAATGCGAAATCCTAACTAATTGGCTGACCCAAATGTGTTGGCCAATAGTTGTTAACTTATAATTCTCTTGCTGATCATTGGTTTGTAACAAGACCAGTGAAAACTATTTATACTCTACAATAACATTAGAAATCAGCAATAGAACAATGTCGACAAACAGCTATAAATCGCATCTCATCCAATGTTTATTGCGAGCAGTGTTGATGTTGTCAATATTAGTTCAGGTTTTCGGAAGCAACTCTAATGAGACACTGCCACGTAAGTTGATTTCATGTTGCTATTTGTTGAGAACAGAAAATGTGGGAGAATTTGAAGATGCTTTTTCGTTCTTATTTCAGGTGAACGACGAAGCCTGCATATGCTTCGTATGGGCTAGTTATTACATCCACATACCGAACCATATGTATTTACACAGTGTATTCAAATAAATTATTAACAATTTCTGAGGTGCATTCTTTCTTGCTGACAAGAAACGTTTCATGGATTTTGATTACTTAAATATTTGACTAAGTAACATTTGATGTTACCTATCTTCAGTCACTCATTTCTTTTCAAGAAGATTGGAAATCTAGGGACTCAAATTATAAATACGGTGGAAATGTGTGCAGTATCTGTTAGGAATTATAGTCTGCCATGCAGTTTTGGAAAGAAATTTTCGCATTGACTTTTACGTACCATGTTCTGCAGAATCATTTTTCACATATTTGCAAGATCAGAAAATCATTTTTCAAGTATGTTTATATTCAAATAAAGTTTTTGGCTGTTCACAAATTGGTGATGAAAGTATGTAGCCAAATATACATCGCGTTACAACATTTTCCAATAACCGAATAGCTGCCTCATGTCAGGCTGTTCAAGGTTGTTAAAATGAAACGGCGGATACTTTGAAAGGATCTGACTTAGCGTACTTAATGTTCTGGGTGACGGCTTGGACCCCGTATCGTCTTATTATCTAGTTTGCATTAAACATTTTTCTCACAGGAAAATAATAACAATATATATTGTGCAAAATGCTCAATTACTAATTTGTCCTGCTATTCAAACTATCTCAGATCACTAAACAACTCATATTAGTCAAAATAACTATGTATATTTATGAGCATTTTTACACTTTCTCCTTAAGTGCCACTCTGATTATACGCTTGTTATGATTTTGGAATGCCGTGTAATATTTGTTTGGGTCAATTTAAAAGCCTTGTGAATTGGTCTACTGAATAATACGTAATAATTTTCTGACCGCTCGCAATCCCGTCTTTATTCATATACGTGAACTGAAATGTCTATGTCTCCGGAAGCACCACGCTGTGAGAAGAACTGCAAAATAGCTAGGTCACCACTAATTTACAAAGGTCATGTATATCACCCGTATATCAAAAATATAATAATTGGAGGAGGATTGATGGCATTGGGTGAAATTTGTGCTCAGTCACTTAAAATGTACTTTTTTGTTGCTCCTAACTATAATTCAGGCTCCAATACCGACCTGTGCTCTGTTTGTGATCAAGAATCATCTAAAAAGTCTTGGATATATCTCATCACAGATACCAAAAATTACAACTTCAACACCATTAGTAAGTGTCAGCTTGTCTTTTCATCTTAAAATGCCTGAGTGAGTCTTCTCCGGATTCATAAGCAAGACATATACTTGTTTAATAAAGACTGACGCGCTCGTTTCCAAAAGGGCAATGATTTTTGTACTTGTTTTTGATTATACTTGCTTTGGGTACTTATTGCACCAAAAAGCATTCTTGGTCTACTTTAACTAAAAGTACTTTAGTTAAAGTTTGAAATTTTTTGCTAAATTCTGTCCTGGGTACCTTTTTTACTCCTTGACTAACACTTGTGTTCACATTGTGATCATTGTGTGTTTTTAAACCTTTCAAATCGAATTACAATGGTTGGTAAGACTCACAAATGTGGGCAACCAAATTGTTTGCTCCCCGTTGAGGAGGGAATTCAGTGTGATAATTGTGAAAAGTGGTACCACAAAATGTGTACACACCTAAGTCCGACGGCATACAAAAGATGCTCGAAGTCTAACTCGCATTGGCTTTGTGTGTTCTGCTGTACAGATAAAAAGGTACTAGTTCAGGAGGCTATGGCCCTATTGGCTTTGGCCTGCAAGAAAAACGATAGCACATGCGCTGACAACACGGGCACTGACAGTGACGAATGTGTCCGTGTAGTACCTGCTGTTACGCGATGCCTCAAACGACCGACTCCAACCGACACAAAAGTGAAATCTCCGTTAACATCAACAAGGGGAGTAATACCACCTGGTACTGACATTGGTAACAATGCACCTTTAGTGGGAACCGACGAATTGGATAAAACCGTCACCGTTCCAAATAGTCCTAATGTCCTGAGGGATGAAAAATGGACTACGGTACGTGGGAAACGAAAAGAAAAAATCTGTAGGCAGTACACAGGTAGTTAGTAACTCACTGATGGACTCCCATTGTGAGTCACAAACTGCACTACCAAAATCTGGTGGTAAGAGTGAAAGCCATCCTGGAGTGACTGAGAAGAAAAATCAAATAACATCTAATATTATTGTGAGCAAATTGCGGGAGTCAAACTACTCTGATCCTAAAATTAGACACGCGCATGATTTAGAACAGCTAGGAGAATATATTCGTAGTATTTTACCAGATAACTCTAAAGGAGTTCAGGTCAAAAAATTGGTTAGAATAGGCAAGAGAACTGATGACAGTGTTGAACCCCGACCATGCAGACTCCTTAAGGTAATCCTAGGATCGGGGAAGCAGCGGGATCTCCTGTTAAGTAGCGCACGTTGTCACGACAGTTCTGACATCTGAGTTAGACCTGACATGTTTCTCGAAGATAGAACAAAAAGGAAGAAGGCACTGGCTGGACTTGGAACCCGTCGGCAAAACGGTGAGGAAAATCTCCGGCTAGTGGGTTTCCGGATAGTCAGGTCTTGGAAGCGAATGCTACCAAGGTCTGTGTGGATAGGCCGTTCTACTTAGGAGTTTTATATGCCAACGCTCGTAGTCTACAAAATAAGTTCTGTGAACTAGAAGCACTAGTGGACAGGTTAAAGCCACTCGTTGTAGCAGTGACAGAAACTTGGTTAGTCCATGACTTAGACATTACTCCAGAATTATCCGGATACAATTACCTCAGGAGTGATAGACATAGATGTAGAAAAGAAGGTGGCATCCTGTTATATATAGCCAATAGCATAAATATCCGCTCCTCTGCTAGCGAATCCCATGATAGCGGTACTTGTGAAGTCATTAGCTGTAAGTTGGCTATCGGATGTAGTACATTTATGCTCGGTGTCATCTATCGCAGCCCAATCTGCTTAGCTGATAACTTTATTTTAGAGCACATTTAACTATGGGGTTCAAATAACAGATACTTGGTAATAGGAGGCTTTAATGCACCTGATATTAGTTGGACTGAGATGACCACGGAAGGATCTATAAACTCGTTTGATAGCAGGTTCCTGATAACAATAATGGAGCATGCATTAGTACAGCATGTATCCAAACCCACACGTTTTGGTGCTAACTAAGGTTCTTCTCTGTTGGACTTGGTAATCACTCATGAGACTGAGGATATTGTCGACCTAAATATTCTTCCACCCTTAGTGAACAACGATCACGCTGTTTTGTCACTCACGTTTAGAACTAGGGATATATACGATCAGGATACACCCCGCCCAAATGTATGGAAAGCTCACATATCAGCCATTCAGGAATGCGCCGCTAAGACAGATTGGTTTGTAGATACTAGCTTACCAGTTGAAGAAGCATGGTCTGTATTTAAAGGTGAGTTTAGTCTAGTTACGTCCCCGTTCATACCATACCTGGTGCCACGAAAACCGAATAACAGTCCACCATGGATAACTAAATCAGTCAGGAAACTCCGTAGGAAAAGGAAGAATCACTGGAATATGTTCATCTCTACTGGCTTAGAACAATACAGATCCAGTTATTGTAAGATTAAGAATACCTGTAAAGCGTTAATAAGCAAGACTAGACTATCATATGAAAAACAATCGGTTAGGGATTCTAGATATAGTCCGAAACGGTTATTCTCATATATAAAAAGGCGAACTCAGAGAAGCGATGGAATTCCATCACTTTTGATACAAGAAAATCCGTTAATCTTGGCAGAAAATGATGCCGAAAAGGCTGAAGCTTTATCGGAATATTTTAGTAAAGTATTTTCTATCGGTAATGGGGAACGACCAACGATTCATTGTGACCGTGACGGCTCGCTGATGGATCCTGTAGTCATTGAGAAAGGTACTGTTTTAAGGCTACTTCAGCATCTCAAACCTGATAAGTCCATTTCTCGCACCGAGTAATGAATTACTGGAATGCTCTACCGGAACACGTAATATCAGCACCTTCTGTTAACATAGTCAAAACGAGATTGGACCTCCACAGTATTACAAACTGCAAGGATTAATATAGGTCGATAAACCTACTATCCTTATTACTGAAGATTCTAAACGACAATTGGTTGTGTACTGCACCAATATATTTCATATGCTCTATCATCATTTACCTTGATGTTTAGTGGTGGTTAGCATAGTAAGGTAAAAGACTATCATGGACTACCAGAATATGATATGACATCGGTTGGCACGTATGTGTGCAGAAATGTTAACATCTTGATCTGTATCTGAGCACTATTCGTAACTCATGGCGTTTTTGTTTTTGTCCCATACCTTACATTCGCCGATATAACTGGCTTCGAACTATATTTTTAATGCTTAGCTTTATGATCGGTATTGCTCAAACTGCTGTTCATTTATAGTTGTTAGTTTTTATTTTGTGCGATATTCGACAAATTAGACCCATAAACCTTTGTCATAAGGTCACATTGTTTATTATTGACTTATCAGTTTTCTAATTCTTAAAATATAACCAAGTTGACTTTACAGTCAACGTTTTTTGTCATCACCAAATTTGCCTTGTCCTCTTCTAGTTTAATTTAGGCCAGGGACCTTAATGTACTATCCCGTCTGAGTTGTTAATTTTTCTCGCAATGATGAAACTTTTATTCCGTACATGCAAATGTTTGTCAGCTTTTTGTGTAATCTAGGTCATATTTACTTTGTTTCCGTTGCTATAGTTAGACAGAGTGCTATCGGATCGTTCCAAGGATTCTATCAATTTATATATTATAGTTGGTTAGACAAAGTATTCTCTGGAGTGTCGTTGACTATAGTCGCAAAGAAGGTGTTGTTAGATGAAGTGTTAATAGGACCTATAAGCCTGGCGATATTTTTTCTTTGTAAGTTAACCAATTTACTTGAATTCAATTTTGAATATAGTCAACTTTATTTGAAATGTACCTTGTACAACTTGATTTAAATTACAAGATAAAGTAAATGATTAACTTATTTTAAATCTTTCAGTATTCAGTTACTTTGAAGTATCTTATATGAATACTTTATATTACATGTAGACCTACCAGAGCTTACCATATATATGTACATACTAAGGTAACTACTCGGAATTAGATTGTTCTTTCCGTCTACTAGGGAATCCCGAGCTCCCAATTTTGGGGAAAATTTTTACCCATTTTGGGAAAGCCGCTGTAGTAAACCTTGGGGAAATGGCACTAAAACCCCAAAATTTCCCCAGACCTGGGGAAATTCTTCAATATTTCCCCGAAATTCCCCTTTAACCTTAGTCATGGTCATTTGACTTTGGGGGTTTCCCCGAAATTGGGAGCTCGGGATGATTGCGATCACATTGTCTCTAATTTTATAAATTCCGTTAAATAGCAGAAATGGATTATCATACACATTTTAAACTCAAGGCAAAATTTTGACGATCTATCAATGGTTCTACATTTTTTCCTTCTGTAGATTTCAGTCACTTTTGCAAACCATAGTTGTCAAAATTGACTATCAGCTAAAAAATGATCATTTCCTGGTTTCACAAACGACATGCTTAAGAACTAGAAGTAATATCGCCAAAAATTGTTGGAATCAGTGACTAAGTTTCGATATTAAATGATTTAGATTTCGCCTTGAAGATAAACTCCCGATGGTTTTTTTGCTAGATTTTTTCATAGTAAGCGTATGTACGTGCCTAATCCCTCGAATGGATCAATCGAATGTGAAAATAGAACTTCTGTTAGTAGATTGCAAAGGTTGAATTCCTAGCTTTTGAACTGTTCTGCTGTATATCAGGTTTAAAATCATTATCAGTAACATGTACATCATAATTAAATCTTCTCTTGATCAGCGGTTAAGGTTAAGAGATATCAGGGAGTTTCAGCAATGTGTACTGAATTGATTGATGCTCGGAAACTTATCCAATCGGGCTTAATATATAATACGAAGCGAAGACAACTTAGAAATAGCCTGAAAAAGTCTACGTAATTGTCGGATTCATTAGTGGCTAGCGGAAAGCAAAACTATGTAGGCGGCGCTGATTAACAGTAGACAACCTTTCAGACATCAAAGAAACAAGTGTAAAAAACCGGTAACCAGTGAGACTTCTTGAAAATGATGTGACAATTATTCACCCTCTACACAAAGGTCTGCAACGAGCACTTTGAAAAAGTTTAATTGTTCATTTTCTACCTTTCTGTCTCCTAATTCTACCAGGCGACCGCATTGGAATGTCTACATAGGCCCCCAAACTCTTAATGTAGTAGAAAAGATCATAGCGAGGGATAGCAGCAGGCTATGATGGATTAACTCCAATGATCTTTAAGTATGGTGGTCCGATTTCGACTGTTAAATTGAGATGTTAACTAGAGTCGGGGAACTGAACGTAGTCTCATCCACCTAGTCTCAATCTCTGATTTCCCCAGTCTATGGGAAAAGACACAAGTCCTCTTTTGACAACCACTGAGGAATCAGTTTGACTAATGTGATACATAAATTATTACCCTCAATAATCATCCAACGCTTAACTAGGACTTGTGAAGAGCAAACTCTGGACATAGACGTCGATGTGTAGAACAAATATTAACTCCTCCAATTTGATATTCGACCATGTGTTTCCGACACATTCGTGTATTTTAGACTATCGAATGAGAAGTACCGAGATTAGACATAGTATACTGCGTAAGTACGGCAAATTAGTCGATTAGGTATTAGATCACCAACTGAGGTGGTTTGCACTAGCTACATATACTTGTAGACCGCTTCACCAACAGACGATGTTGTCTGGTGTAGGATTTGTATGGAGATGTACATCGTATTTAGCGTAAATTGCCAGTAAAGACTTGATGCTGCGTGGAAGTTGGTTAAAAAATATGTTTATTTATTCATTTAAACACACAAACATTGGTACAAGGAGGAACCAAATAGATATGCGCCACATAAATCATTCGATTTGTGTGAGGGCTGGGATACTGCCTAGGTGCCCAAACCGAAGCAGGTGGTTTCCTTAGGGATCCACACACTGAGCCTTCGACTTAAAGGTCTGATCCACAAGGCAGTGGAGCAATGTAAGGAGATGCAGTTCTTGGTAGCTGGTGACCATTTGTTCCCTCAGTATACTGGAGCCCATGCGCACCATTGGTTTGGAATCAAGGTTTCCCAACTTCCCTAGGTGGATTTTCCGTATCCACCAACCTGGTAAAAGTGACGGACATTCTCTTTTCGTCCTCTCGAGTTCATAAATAACTCAGCCTCAAGAAGGCAGTGTGTAGAACTTCCATGGCGGTGGTTGTATGCACGTGGCCATATGAGAGCATTACGAAAAGGAGAGCGGACTCTCCTCACTCTCGGTCGTACCAGGGCTTTTGGGGGCGGTTAAAAAAAGTATAGAAAATGATGAGTCCTGTGATGCTTTACTAATCGCTATTTTCCGAGAGATTTCATACTTTCTAAAAGCAACCAAACAGCTATGCAGGTGTCTGGAGATTCTTACGCTTTCCAGCTTTAGTGAAGGCGACGCAGATAAGATCTAGTTTTCCATTAGCTAGCGACTCTTCCAGTTACCCCTACTGGGCATTTTTAAAACACTATAAGCCTTTCTTAAAGTCGTAATGTGCACTGCCGAACAAGCTACGATTTTCCTCAAAGGTCACGACTATTTTTTTTTTATGGTTACCTTCAATATCCTGACTACGACACTTGCAAGGATGATCGGTCTGTAGTTTGATGGGTGTTGTCTAGATTGTCTAGTAGATCTGAGTGACATCTTTCTAGTGTGTTGGTGATGTACACTAGCTGAACGATATTCTAAAAACAATTATGAGTGTGGCAGCTACGTATATTACACGTTGTCTGGGCATTTAATGGTGTAATGCATTCGGTCCTGTTGATCTGTTCGTATCTTAAGAGCTTAATGTCTTAAGCACGTTCTGGTTGAAATCAATGAGTAACTTGTTCAGGAAAAATACCGATGTCGTTTTTGGATGACGCATCATCTCTTAATCAGATTGTTTTTAATAATGTTCAGATTGAGTATGGTTTGAACATTAAATGTATTTGATCTATTTGGTTAGAATGCCATGTTGACTACACAGTAATAAATAGCTTAAATTTAACTGGCAGACATTGTGAAATAATATTAGCAAACTATCATAATCTTACCTTTTACTGTGTTTTTTTTATTAGATAACGGATTTTGTGACACGTGCACGATGGCTGGAGCTTTTCAGCGGTGTCGTCAATCATTTCTTTCTGGTTATTTGTCAGACTTAGTTTATTGGCCTATATTGCAAACCATTAACTTCGCCCTTGTTCCTCCTGGATATCGTGTCTTATATGTCATATTTTTCACTAGTCTTTGGAACACTTATTTATGTTTCTTTAATGCTCGTATGGTAAGTATCGCAAAGTGTGTCCTTATACATTTCTTAGTTTCTCATATGCGTAGTTATATGTATCATAAAACTAGTTTGTTCCAAGCGTTCTGTTATCAGTCGGACCTAAGTCGCCGCTGATTGTATATGAACACTATGAACGAATAGTTTGATAGGAATTGGGCCGTGAGTTTTTTACGGGCAGTGTGTGTGAAGATTATGTTTGAAATAAATTTAGAATGTATAACAACCTTATTACTCGAAAAATTGTAATCCGATATAATATAACAAGTTCTCCATTGGCCAGTCAGCTACAACGTAGGACCAGACGCATATATGCATCGGTCCAAGTTGCCATACCTTATTAGCACAGCAAAATGGACACCGGATTCATAGGAGTGGTTAAGTCAATGGTGTTAATATATAAAAGAAAGATTGCATATAACGATATAGTACAGGAAGGAAGAATTAGTTCGTAGAAAGAAAGATATGAAATGATTTTAATCTCTTAGTTTAAGTGAAGACAAAGAGTGTATACACCTACGCCATTGTGATTGATTCTGATCCATGTCATCAAGAGTCTCCAACCATTGGTTACGATAGTCAAGCAGACCCCAAACAAGTAGTCTGCACCTACCAAAGTGACTCAGACCAGATGTTAGTGTCTTCAAGAACTGATGCCAGGTTTTGTTTGACCGCCCCTAACTTTATTCCAACCATCCCCTACACCGGTTAGCATTGCACGTCGTGGTTATCGGTGTTCAGGCATACGTAACACGTGGCACAACCTCATCAACTGATTTACCATCATCCCTTAATACCCTGTGTCTGTCTAACCTCACTATTACTTACCCGATGATCCCAGCAGATGCGAGCAATATTTCTAAGGCATTTGTGGTCAAATACTAGTAGCTTACGAGTATCTTCTACTCTTGATGGCCATGTTTCGCTGCCGTAAATTAAAACAGAACGAACTGTCGCACAGTATACTCGTCCCTTAATTGATAGACGGATATCTCGCTTTCACCATAGGTGACATAAGTTGGTAAAAGCCAAACGTGGTTTTCGAATATGTGCTGAGATTTTGTCGGACACCAATCCATTAGGGCTGATCAGACTTCCAAGATAAGTGAAGTTGTCCACGCGTTCGACTGCTTCACTCCCTATCCTTAGTTCAGGTGTAGATGCAGGCCAGTCCTGAAGCAACAACTTGCATTTAGAGGGGGAGAAGTGCATCTCAAACATTCTGGCATTTTTGCTCAGTTCTACCAAAAATCTCAGCGTCTTCACGAAACAGACTATGTCACCAGCGTATTCTAATTCAATATGCAGACCTCCTAGTAGGAGATCAAGTGAAAACTCAGTCTCCATTGGAAATTGCTCAATCAGTGATTCAGTAATCCTCTGATACTTTCTGTCAGTGAGTTAAGTTGACTCCTTCGTAATTTAAAATTTAGATAATATCGTCTTGCCATTAAGACTTACTATTCCCGGGCCTCACTCCATATAATGTCGTAAATTCACACCACTGAGTTCCAAATAAAGATTGACTTGGTGCTTATTATTCTGTTGGTTGGGTTTTACAGGTCCTGTCATGACGATAGTTTAAATCATGCTTTAAGTGAGTTTTCACTTTCCTTTTTTATTAACTGATATTGATTTCAGGGCCGCAGTGGTTCCGGGATCGAAAACAACCGATAAAGGGAAGATTACAACTGAGGAGGTTTAGCAAAATCCCATATTGTTTTTTCATATATTATTCTAATTACAACTTTTGGCGTCAGGAGTTTGGCTGTTGTTCTATGACAATCACACTTCGTTTTGTGTAATTTCTCATAGAACATCTCCTTGGTAAAATATCTGAATAATTTCAGGCTTCATGGAAAGACTGTTCACTCATTTTCATAATTATATTTATTTTCCTTTTTCGTCCGCACCTGTATTTTGGTGATACGATAAATTTTGATCGTTAGATTTATATTATTAACCAAACTATTCATCCTATATTTTTACTTCCACTTTAAATTCATGTTAACTTTTTTTTCTTAGATTTTTCCTAGAATTCAGTGCACCTAACCTACTTATATTATAAATTCATTTTTGCGTTTTGATTTTGTTTTATATACACTGAAAAACAGAATATCACTTCTTATTATTCTCATGTTATATTTGTAATATGAACGCCCAAGTTATACCAATGGTCAACAGTCTAGATATGCTTCTATTTCAGTTCATTTAGATGTTAGGCGGTTGCTATGATGCCCAAAGATCCTAGATTTCTTCCTTCTTGGGGTTGGATGCGTTCTGCTGAGGAGTCCGATGCTAGGACAAAACCCTCCAGGCTTTCAGTGGTGGTTTAACTAAGAATAGTTTTTGGCATGCAATCGTATTAAAATTCTGTAATCTCCACAAAACCTTACACTATTAAACAGGAAATTTAAAATGTTTTGTAATGATTAATATTACCATAAGTTGTTAAAAACACTGCTGCTCGTTTGAAACAAGTATTTATTTAAAAAGCTACCTCTTATTGTCATTGTTAATGTAGATACATAAATAAACACATGTCTGAAATAGATTTATTTGTACTTAATTTTATCTAAAGGCTTATTCTTAATCAGAATAGTGAAAAAAGCTATAACAGGGCATTATTAACTGATATAGGTTGCATTATTATTGATATATTTATAAACTGAAAAAAAAATTTATGGTTAATTATATCACATCAAATAGTTACATATTATTTTAACAAATGATTATTATAATTGTTAGTACGTATACAATTGGTAGGACATCATTTTTAACTACTTTTCCATCTTCACCTCTGGTCAAGTATCAATCAGTCTTCTTGAGTGATAACTGATGGTTCAGTTCCACGTTTGCTCATATTGCTGGAATCAGTTGAAAATCTTGGTAAAGTTGGGTTATCCTAGGGAAAACAAATTCAAGAAACTAAGGTTTTAGATTATTTTTCTCTAATAACTATTATCAGTCAGTCAGCTACAACGTAGGACCAGACACATATACATCGGTCCAAGTTGCCATACCTTATTAGCACAGCAAGATGGACACCGGATTCATAGGAGTGGTTAAGTCAATGGTGGTAATATATAAAAGAAAGATTGCATATAACGATATAGTACAGGAAGGAAGAATTAGTTCGTAGAAAGAAAGATATGAAATGATTTTAATCTCTTAGTTTAAGTGAAGACAAAGAGTGTATACACCTACGCCATTGTGATTGATTCTGATCCATGTCATCAAGAGTCTCCAACCATTGGTTACGATAGTCAAGCAGACCCCAAACAAGTAGTCTGCACCTACCAAAGTGACTCAGACCAGATGTTAGTGTCTTCAAGAACTGATGCCAGGTTTTGTTTGACCGCCCCTAACTTTATTCCAACCATCCCCTACACCGGTTAGCATTGCACGTCGTGGTTATCGGTGTTCAGGCATACGTAACACGTGGCACAACCATTTCAGTCGATGAAGATTCACAGCCTCATCAACTGAGTTACCATCATTCCTTAATACCCTGTGTCTGTCTAACCTCATCCATTAGGGCTGATCAGACTTCCGAGATAAGTGAAGTTTTCAAACTTACCCCTCTATGATTGTCACAGGATGATTTTGAACCACCATCCTCAAATACCACCTCCTTTCAGATTAACTATAGCCTTTTGAACTTCTGCTAGAGTTGGTGAACCTACTTCGATAATCCATTCACACTGTCTTGGAATGATGGGTAGTTGTAGAGTAGCTGAAGTCCAGCTGAACTGCTCTCTATAATGTTCCGCCCATCGTTTTAAACATCTGGACTGGGAGCAGATGAGAATGTCGTCTTTTTCCGAAATAGTCTCACTTACACTTGACTTATTAATTCCAGTTTCTTTTATTAGTCTGTAGAGCTGTCTTGTGTTCCCTGTAGCCACCGCTTTTTCCATCTCTTTTACTTTCGTTGCCCACCACTGCTCACGGTCGTTCCTGAGACTTTTGCTTAACATAGATCTGATTTGTTTACGCTCTTCATCGTGTTCAGAACCTGATGGGATGAGTTTGCGAGAATTTATCAGTGCAATAGACCTTGAGGAAATCCATTGGTTCTTTGTAACCCTGTGGTTTAGATCACTAATAGATGTCACTGCTGTTTTTACAGCTGTTTGTATATTTTTCCAAGCAACATCCTGGTTAGCCTCGTTTTCAGAACTACCTGATTGTGACCTCAGTTGTTCCTGGAACCTACTTTTGGTTTTCTCGCTACTCAATTCAGTTCTAATGGGTCTTTTTACTGTGGCTTTTATGCGTCCAGCGAGGCGCAAGCAGATGCGTGCCCGTATTAGGGCGTGGTCGGAGTCCAAGTAGGTACTCCAGAATGAACGACAATCTTCTACCGCCCCTCTCCAACGATGACTGATGGCAATATGGTCTATTTGGGTCCATCGTTGGTTTAGTGTAGGTGGTCACTATGTTAGACGATGTCTCTCCTTATGCTTAAAATTTGTGTTTGCTAGAAATAAACGATTGTCTGAGCACAGTTACAGCAGACGATCACCATTATCTGTTCTTTGTGCCGGAATACTAAAATACATACCTAAATGTCTTTCTCTTTGGTGTAAACTACTTATCTGGGCATTAAAGTCACCTGCTAAGAGTACTATATCTGAACGTTTAGCTTTCTGAGGAAGTTCAGAGAGCTTTCTGTAAGATTCATCTGTCACTTCATCTGAGCTGCAGTCAGTGGGAGCGTAGGCAGAATTACTATTACATATATGTCACTTTTAGCTGCATCTTAATGTGTCAATTATATAATTGAAACCTAGAAGTGACCACTTCACATTAAAATGTTGGAAGTCTATCACAAGAATTGTTATTAATGAGCACAATATTGTCATTCGGTTGGTCAGTTTGTAAGAATTAGTTTAATTTGAAGAGAGTTAGGATGTTGTGGTGTGTGCTCACGCCGTTGATGAGTTCCAAATATGGACGAAATAAGTATAATTTGTTATTTTTAATTACTATTTCTTAAACTGATCTCAGTCTGTGACAAAAGAATCTCCAATCATCGGATGTGTTGAACTGTTCCTTATACCTACTATCATTATATTGGAAAGTTTGTAATTTTGCTATTAGATCAAGTAACATCTTTTGTAACTAACTTAATTCAATGCACCCTAAATCAAAGATTATCCATCATCTTTTTGATCATTTTAATGATATATAGTTCACTATTGCGCGTAATTTTGTTTCAATTTAATTAATTTAATGTTCCGATAAATATCGATTTTTGCATTGTTCAAGGTGATGGATGTGTAAGCTCAAGTTCTAACTTGAAAAACTTTTAGAAGCACTTTAAACAAAGATTATTTTAAATATTTTATAATTTTTGATATCTAATAGTGAACCAGTTATTAATTTCGGAGACGTGCGTATTTTTTTAGTGAATACTATCTAAATATAATCTGCAGGAAATCCTGGATCTGAATTTTGTGATGGCTAACACTTAACAGTAAGGTTTATCTTCGCTCCTGTAAAAAAATATTTTTCATGAGATTCAAATCATAGTTACCTAGTACTTTAGTAGCAAAATTTATCACTAAGCTATTCCGGTTACAACTGACTTTCTGTTGGACTTAGAAATTTATATTGATTGCTTATCTATATAAATAGTAAATAGTATTTTGTTGTCTGTTCGTTAGTACATAGCGAGTGCTATGAATAATGGAGCATAGAATTGTTTACTACTAAATAATCATTTAGTTTTAGACAAAATGACTTGCCATTTCCTATCCTTACTATTGATTGAATAAGAAAAGTGTATACGTAATGTTCAAATCATAAGGTTAATCGGTTAATTAATATAAAAAATTAAAAACTAATCAGTTATATTTCTTAGTGAAAGCGGCTAACTTATCACCAAACAGCATCAATGTGAGGAAATTATGGAACTTTCTACTTTTCGGTGCATCTGAAAATTTCGTCACCATATGGAATTCTTACGACAAACTACACTACAAATTCATACATAGAGAGCGGCTCATAGATGCATTCCAAGTGGAGACTGGTGTCAGATAAGGCCCTCTATTTTCACATTTCCTCTTTCTACTTGTGGTTAACTAAATTATGAAAACCTCCAGATATCAGGGTAGGCACGGAATACAATGGACAGCTTGGATGCAGCTAGTTGACTTGGACTTCTCATATGACGTAGCTCTCCAATCCCATAAACGGCATCAAATGCAAAAGGAGACAGCCAATGTTGCATCAGGAGAGCTCAACATTCACAAAAGTAAAAGCAGAATCCTAAAATGCAACACAGATAAGGTCAACCAAATCACACTTGATGGTGATCTGGAAAGCTTTACGTACCTGAGCAGTATAATTGATAAGCAGGTAGGATCTGATGAAAATGTAAAGGCATAGATCGACAAAACAAGGGTGACATCTGGAACCAAAAACAACTGTCAGCCAACATCAAAGTCAGAATTTTCAATACAAGCGTCAAGACAATGATATTGCACGGAGCTGGAACTTGGAGAACTATTACAACCATAAAAAAAGTCAAAGTATTTATAAACAATAGTCTTCTGAAAGATACTCCGGATTCCTTGACTAGACACTATCAGCAACAACCTACTACGGTAGAGAACAAACCAACTTTCAACTGAAAAGAAAGTTAGGAAAAGACTCCGGAGGTGGGAAGGAAATACATTTCAGGAATCATCAAACTGCATCATGAGCCAAACCCTAACTTGGAATTGTTAATGGAAAAGGAAGAGGTAGACTCAAGAACAGTTTGCGTCGGGAATCAGAGACATACATCAAAAGAATTAATAGCACTTGGAAACAACTGGAAATGAGAGCCCAGAACGGAGTAGATTGACGATTGCTGATCAGTAGCCTATGCTCCTCCACGAGGTGTAATAGGTGTAAGTATGTCACATAGTCATAGTTAAAACGTTCATATAATAAGGTTTATTCGACAAGATTTTCAATACGGTTCATTTGAAAATGTCAGAAGGAATAGAAATGAAGTGAATTTTTTAAAATGGATAGTTTTTTATTCTTATGAAGTACTTCCCATTTTAATTAACGGTTATTTCCTTATTTTGTTTAGTTCTAATTCTATAATACCTTCTAATTTGGTTATTTTGTTGTTCATATATAAAAAATAAATGAAGCATGAAAGCCATAATGTACTAAGTATTAGAAAGTTCTTTTCATCCTTCAACAGTATAAGTGTAGTTTATTAATTTATTACTGACCTATGTAAAACTACAAAAGTCATTTAACTCAAGAAAACCTAACACTAAATAAAGTCAATAATATTATTTTAAGGAGTCTCTGAGTAACTAAAATCAATTATTCTATCCTAGTGTGGTGCGTGCTACTTATATTAACATAAGTAGTATATAACGCGAGTCAGTAATGTAATGTCTGGCAGCAGAAGATTGGGAAGATCAAGAAAGGAAAAACGGGAATAGAAAGCAATTAGTATTGAAATGCATGAACAATGAAGTCCGAGACAATTATTGGATATTTTGCAAATTAGGTATTATAGTATGGTTTTTCTATTTTACCAAGTAACTCTGCAATGCTTTATATTCCAATTAGTTTGAATGATACTGAAATGAATTGACTATTATCACCATAGAACAATTGGTAATCGTTTTTTCTTTCACCGTTATGTAGCGTATTTGGTAAATCCAGACTATTTAATTCACATGGAACAGTTATTGACTTATTTAAAACTTTTACAGTTTAGTCTAAAAGTTAAGCGCTCACCGCTAGACATGATCACTTTGGGTTCTCTTTCAAGCAGAGTCATGAATATTCACTACAGAGGACGTCCATACTAGGACAAAATGTCTCCTTAATGCTTCCTGGTTTTTAATGGTTGTCCAGCTACAGTCAGTTCGTGCTGTAAATTTTGATTTCTTTACGGATCAAAGATATTTATTTTATAAAATACATATTTATTAAACTCGTTTGTCACATTTGAATCAGGTTACAATTGTCATAACTTAACTAACTTTTCATGAATTTAATCTAGATCGAATGAAGCAATATTCAGATAAAAACATAATGGAATAATGACAACACTGACTAATCCAATACTCTGAACCATATAATCCCTAGATTATAGATAGTTAACAAGTATTATAAAGACACATGAAATACTTCATGAATGATTTAGTTTTAATAGTAACATTTTTTGTACCATAGTTTTCATTATGTAACGTTCATGTTATTTTCGTCAACAAGTCATAGACCTTGATTTTAGATTTACCGTAAATCTATGCGATAGCTCACGGAGTATATAAATAAGATGGCATTGCCTTTAAATTCATCAAAACAATAGAGATGTATCAATCTACAGCTTTATGTTATTTAAATACTGAATACAAAGTCGAGACCTTGCATAATCCAACCTTAAAAATTATGATAATTCAATTAATCAAACTTGACAAAATGATTTTTATGTTTATATTGTGGCGCTTGATACGATTGGCTAATTTGAAACTATGGTCTATAAGAAATATTTCTCATGAAATCAATATTATACAAACATTGATTAAAATAAATTTCATCCACGTTATATGAAGCCCAGTTGACGAAATGTATCTGAGATAAATGTGGATACTGGACAAAACTCTGGAAATAATAATCATAACTGATTTTGCGGGACAATGATTACTTTTAGATTAAAGCCAGCGATCAAGTAGCAAGAAAATTTCCCTCAGCTTGAATCATGGGCCCCAAGGATGTGCACTGCTGAGGAGTCCCAGACCACGACGAAACGGCCATCCAAAGCTTCCAGGTTTTCACTGGTTGGCCTACTTAGATAGGTTCATGTTTTCAACGGAATTTAGCAATCTCTACAACCGTTTATTTACTCCTGTTACCCCTCGCGGAGGAGCATAGGCAGCCCACCAGCGCTCTCTACAGAACTCTGTCCTGGGCAATCCTTTTCAGTCGCTATTTACTCTAACTGGTGCTGGCTGACAGTTGCTCTGAGCTCCATATGTCCTCCAACTATAGGAATGCTGACCTTGCTTTGCCGATTCTCGCCTTTATGTCTGCATCCGATCCTCCACGTTCATCGATGATGCTAACCAGATATGTGAAACTTTCCACCTCTTCCAGAGTTTATTTATCAGGTGTGATTCTGTTGGTGTTTTCCGTGTTGTATTTGAGGATCTTGTTTTTTATTTATGTATGTTGAGGCCTTCTGATGCAGAGGCTGTTGCTACACTGGCTGTCTTGACCTGCATTTGTTTGGGTGTATGGGATAGAAGTGCTAGGCTATCTGCGAACTTCAGATCTTCTAGTTCCATCCAGCCTGTTCATTGTATACCGTGCTTCCCCTCAGATGTGGTGGTCTTCATAATCGAGTCAACCGTCTGAAGATAAATGAAGAACGACAGTTAGAAGCCTTGTCTGACCCCAGTCCTCACTTGGAATGCGGCGGTCGGCTATCCTCCATGCACGACTTCGCAGTGTAGTCCGCTATAAGAATTCCGAATGATGTTGACGACCTTCTCTGACACACTACGATGTCGAAGAAGTTCCCATTAGGTTCTTCTATCCCCTCTATCAAATGCTTTCCCAAAGTTAAGTAAGTTGATGTACAGTGACGAATTCCTTTCAATTGACTGTTCAACAATGATCTATAGTATCGCGATTTGGTCTGTGCACAACCGTTCTTTACAGAATTTGGTTTGCTGATCTCGCATTTATTGAATTGTTCATTCGGATCAGCAACACTCTATTGAAAACGTTTCCTGGTACCGATGCTAGTGTTATGTCTCCGTAGTTTTCACATTTGTTCAGATCTGTCTTCGATATCTTGATGAGGTATCGTTCTTTCCAGTTTGTCGGCACTTGTTCCTCCTCCCAAATCTTCCACAATCTTTTGCTGACAATAAATCTTAGTGTTTATTTTGATTAGGAAAAATGAAACTAGGATCATGACCATGAAAAAGAACGTAAAAGCTATTTCCGTACGCAGATATAGCTTTAGTTACGTATAGCGCTTCTCGAATGCGAAAAGCATGTATTTATACAACTTTGGTGGATTGGTTTTAGTACTATTAACAGTATCGAACGATGAGTCTTTTGGTACTGAGTTATGGTCAACTACGTGATGTAAAGTAAAAGATTTGACTGAATCTTTGTTGTGTTGACCTAATCAGACATTGTCCTTCATATGTCACCCTCAAATTTTATTTTTAAATCGATTATTTGTTTAATATATTCTAGTCAAATGTGAAGATTCACCAATAAATCAGTCACTAGCTACTAAAGCTCCTCCTTTATGCTCTCTTCTCAAGTCATTACTGATTGTAAGGTTAGGGAATGAGTCGCGTTTCGCTTTCTGTTTATAGAGCCAACACAGTTCTCTCTCAATTACAGGTGAATATTTAATTCATAAATCAATTAGAAAGTTTTCTGGTTTCTTTTCATCAACGGAACATCATACAGAGGTGAAGTTTACGTACAGATGACGTTTGGCTATTTACTTCATCCTATTTTCAACCTCCTAGTTTCTCCACATATGAATAACACACCATTAGCTCTAATTGAGAACATAGGAGTAGAAAAGTCGGCCCATGTCTAAAGTTGAGGTATGTGGTATTCTTTTTTGTGTATGGATTCGTAGACAATTATAGATCCAATCGTTTTAGAAATTTCATGTAATTTCACTGTGGTAAACTGGTTTATTTTCACATCTTTAAAATTCTGTATGAGTTGTCTTTCAGTTATGTCAGATTTATTTCTATCGATTTCATGTTTTATTATTTTCAGACCAACTGAATTCGGTTACTGCAATATTCAAAATTTGTTTCAACAGTACGATCATCTGACTGAGTCTTTGAAATAATTTCATTTCTGTTTACTCTATTAAACTGTAAATTTTCTATATGAGGATGTCAAGAATGTCATTCTGATTAGATGTACTACTGGCATCAATTTAAGTAACTTATAATTTAACACAAACATGTATCGTCATAGACCATATTACATATCTGGATAAACAACAAAGAAGACTTGTCATTTCGTTGAAATAATGCATCTTTATCTGCATTATTAAGGTGATAGCACTTTTAAATGAAAAGTTTGGTGAGTATAATCGAAATTATATTTAACTTCTGAAATCTAAGTCAGTATTCACTACTTCTTTGATCTTAATGATTCTAAAGTCCAATCAGTTTTGATAAACGCACGTATTATTATACTTAACATTAATATACACTGATAACATTATATTTTAATAGATGAGACAATGAGAAAATAAAATAAAACCTATTGTGCTTACATCATCTGTGTCGATATCATCTAATGTCCAACAACAATATGTGCCAAGAAATATCCAAGCTGATATAAAACAGAAAATGGTAGCAAGCCATAATAAAATGTATCCAGAACCATAATCAATAGATGTTGTTGTACGTTGTTTCTATTTTCAATTATATGGTATGATATAATAGATAGAAAGAGAAAATAATGTTAATGTAGAGAATTATTAAAAAGTAAAAGTTATTTTGATTATAATTTAACAATCAATGAAAGTTATCCAGAACTAAAATATTCAGTCAACAATTATAAATCAATAACAAGTCATTGATAGATGTAGATTGGATTCTTTGAACTAGATACATAAGTAAACATAGATCGCCTGTTTCTATATTTATTTATTTATTATCAATGTTCATAGTAAGTTATTTCAGACTTTACTAGAATGCTAATTTATCAACATCAGTGTACCATAACAACTTGTCTGAAATGATAAGCACTTCTTCCTATCTACATAAGTATTGTTGAGATGTTTGAGCATTTAGTATACAAGAGAATTTATTGTAGCAAGTGAAATGTTTATCATCTTTGTAAAACAATAAAATGTATTATTACACTATAATCTTAGTTATCACAATGCTTTCATTGTCAATTAGCCAATTGAAATTGAACACAATGTTGTGTACAATGTGAAAGTCTATTTTTATACAATAAATATGTGTTAACCACTTAATTGATATGATTTTCCTTCAAAGTTAATAGGTACCATGAGCATTCTTTATACTAACTTTCTAGGAATTCCTAAACTTCCTAATCTTCAATACGTGAACTATAAATGGGGAACAATTAAGAACTTTGAAAGAAGATCTGATTTGAAACTGATAGTATGTACAAAAACGAGAGCCTTCACTAGGTTATTGGATATCTAGTTACTCCAGAATCATTGAGAAGAATGATTACAATTGATAGTTGTCAATTAAATTATCGAATATTACTTCATTTGGAAAACAACTGGAAAACATTGAGTACTGAACGGTATCACATCCCTTGAAACTTCAAAAAAGTTCAAACTTATGATCTCATTTTTAGATAAAGAACTGGTTGATATAAAAATATATCGTTTTTTCATCGGTTCAATCTAATGGAAGTTTCTAATTTAGCATACTTAGTAAATACATATTTTAATAGATATGTCATGTCGTAGAGTATCACAACCAATATGTTCATTACTTGAACCGCTTTCTGGATTCCTTAAATAATTGTAATTTTGAGCTCTAAATAGTAGTAAAAGGACATACAACAAGATTAGACGCCTCATTTCAAAGTCAAATGATGTGCAAATACTGGCTTATTTACAGATTTCTGAGAATTCAGTAAGTTTAGCAGTAAAATAAATAATTATCCAACAAAATTATAACATGCAATCATTGATTTTTCAGAATGTTTCTGCAAAGCATCTACTGACTACTGATTGTGTGAGATATTTTCAGGCTTTTTCTAGTTTTTGAAGAACATATTGAAGAATTCTGGGTAAATTATAACAATAACAAGACTATGTGAAATACATCCATGATAAATAATAAAGTGTTGCTTTTATTAAAATAAATTGACTAATCTTTCTATGAAGAACAATCACATTTAGTTTAAAATATGAACGGGATTCCTTACGTCAGACCATTGATTAAATCCATATGGGTATCCAGATGATTTACCGTATTTATCTTCAAATTGTTCAACATGAAACATTATTATTGAACTTTGAAGACAAAATCCTTTATAAAACATTTTAAAAAAATAAAAAAGTTTTCGAAATATAACACTGTCACTATTATAATGAACATTATTTACCAATTTTATAAATAATGAGAATAACAAAGCAAGACAAGTCAATATGACTGTAAACATATGACTGTAAGCGAATACAATAAATTTTTTGATTGAGAGCATGAACCTACTGATGTTAGACCATCGCTGGAAACGAGCCCAGAACTATTAACCCATTGAACCACTGAGCTGGCATCCAATGGTGTCTAACATCAACCAATTCATGAAACTGCGTGACCATCTTCCATTGTACTGAGGTAGATACCTATCTCTACCCGACATGGATTAGCTCCGCTGGTCACGGCTTCTCACTAGAACTTCGAGAATCCCCTCACGAAGCTAGTCACTAGTGAGAACATGTTAATTACCAGTATCCCGCGAGCGGGATCGTGGGTGCACACTGCTGAGGAGTCTCACAATAGGACGAAACGGCCGTCCAGTGCTTCCAGGTTTCCAACAGTGGTCTAACATCAATCGGTTCATGATCTCAATCAAAAACTTAGTAATCTCAACAACCCCTATACTGGTAATTAATAATCCAACTCCTTTTACAAGTAAGCTCTATCATAATAAGATTTGACCCGAAACAACTTCCCATCATACTATATTACCCAGCCACTCAAAATTAATGAGCAGGGCGGATTTGAAATTTTCAAGTTTTAATAAGTGAATATTTTAAAAAATAAGTCATCAATTCAAAGTTAATGTATTGGTTTTCACTGCAATATACACATTCATGTTAAAACACTCAGAGTAAACAACAAAAGAACATAGAAATAAAGCGAATAAAATAGGAAAGGAGGTTTAAGATACCGACTGTAACAAAATCTTTTTTAGATTTTGAAATCTTGAATCAGAAGTGTCAGAAAACAATGACATTATTCTTAGTAACGTAGAAATAAGTAAATAAGAGACATCAAAATCATTTCACCATCGATTTCTGTATTAATTCCATTTGATTTAATTTAAACTTTCCAGAGGATATCACTTAGAAAACACACTCTTTCTCATATGACTCAACTCATTGTGTAATGACTATAGGAATTTGTATATTAGTAATGCGTGAGTGCTGAAAGTCATTAACTTCTAGTCCGAGTCATTTTGGTAGATGCAGACTACTTGTTTGGGGTCTGCTTGACTATCGTAACCAATGGTTGGAGACTCTTGATGACATGGATCAGAATCAATCACAATGGCGTAGGTGTATACACTCTTTGTCTTCACTTAAACTAAGAGATTAAAATCATTTCATATCTTTCTTTCTACGAACTAATTCTTCCTTCCTGTACTATATCGTTATATGTAATCTTTCTTTTATATATTACCACCATTGACTTAACCACTCCTATGAATCCGGTGTCCATCTTGCTGTGCTAATGAGGTATGGCAACCTGGACCGACGCACATATGTGTCTGGCCCTATATTGTAGCTGACTGACTGACTGATAGTAGTAATGCTTAAATATATTCATATTTTCATCTCTGCTTTTCTTTGAATCACTATGAAATATCGAGATTATCTACTTCATTCAGTTTAAGCCATTCTAGCTTCATTACAGAAGCAGTTCAATTAAATATCAAATTCTCAGTATTGATTAAAGATTCAACTAACTTGTTTCGAATACATTTTTAACATCAAAACAGTTTCCGTAAGATTAGACCTTCTGCTAACTTTAGATCACAGCAGTTGTCAGTAACTCTCTCTCCTTCTCTCCAACTATTTGTTGTAATTATTCATGTTATGTATATGAATCTTAAATACTCGAAAATAGTAAGCCACTTACAAAATTCGGCATTACATATCACAACTTAAAATTTCTCTCCAAACTATATAATTCATGACGGCTGTCAGCTTATCAGAATGTATGAGTTTCTTGTTTTCATAATGATGTTTTCTGTGCAGAGATTTTTTTTTAAATTTTTATTCAAGAAGGAGAAAAATTCGATCTACTTGATATTGAATTGAAATGAAATCAACTTTAAAATAAAACAATATTATATTTCAATGGTTGAGATCATGAGTCAGTTGAAGCTAGACCACCATGGGAAACCTGGAAGCACTGGACGGCCGTTTCCTCCTATTGGAGGACTCATCAGCAGTGTGCGTCCACGATCTCGCTCCTTGCGAGATTCGAACCAGCCTAATGGTCTAGTGGTTAAGCACTCGCGCGTGAGACTGATAGGTCCTTGGTTCGAATCTCGCGGTGGGCGAGATCGTGGGTGCGCACTGCTGATGAGTCCCACAATAAAATGAAACACGCATCCAGTGCTTCCAGGTTTTCCATGGTGGTCTAGCTTCAACTGACTCATGATCTCAACCATTGAAATTACTATAATATCTACAGAACCCCTTCTAATATTATATTTCTTTACTTTGTTTAACTTACCAGCTAACATAAGAAATATCCCTATAATTAATCGCCAATTTCTGAAACATTTATTATCTTTATTCGTTTTATACCAAACAATGATCAATGCAAGAGCAGCAATAAAACAAATACACATGATAATTATTGCTATTGAATGCATAGCCAGTTCAGCAAGACGTAGATCTATAGATGTGTATGTTTAAAATATTCAGAAAAAAATAAAAAAGGAAAAGAATATTATCCTTTAATGAAATATAATAATTGTTTTTAATGAAGATTACAGATAATGGTATGGTATTTCACATATTTCTTTGTAATCCTAATTCTTTGGATTCTAATGGTTGTTTTCAAAATTATATTTATTTTTATGTTTTTTTAGTGACATTGGAATCCCAAACGAACTTTTAGTTCTACTGAAGACCTATCTACTTGATGTACCTGAATCTCAGTGATGAAGTTTACACTGGGTCCCAAACGAAGTATGTTTTGCTTTAACTCACCAACACTTTATCTACTGAGTTACTGAGTCCATATAATCAGTGGCCTTTGTTATGGGTATTAAATTTCTCAAACTCTTACAAACATCATTGTAATTATTCTGATTTCAATTTAATTTAATTTCTTTGTGATATAGTTTTACTGGAGAGTGTGTTATACCGGACTAATAAATACTTCTGTCAGATCTCATACTTATCATAACTGACTGATTTATTCATGATCTATGTAATAACGACTTCTTTTTGGCTAAATTTCGCTCCCTGAACTGAACGGTTTGATAACGAGTCCTTTATTATGCTTCTAAATAACATGGTCAGTACGGACTTCAGATAGATGTGAACTATTGAAGTTTTTCCACACGTGACTCATAGCTTGTTCTGTCGGCCTCTGATTAGTTGTTTCTGACTCTTTTCATGTCATTGCCTGAATATTGATTTTGATTATCTTACCATTTGACCTTCACGATTAAATAACCCATTTTAAAGAACAAAAGTCCACCAAGTTCATCCACCTGAGCTAGAAATCTTCTCCATCACCTAAAAATGATGATTTCTTATTAGAAAGTTTTCTTGTTATCTTTACTTTGTATTACTGAGCAGTTCTTTCGTTTACTTTGTCGTCACGAATGTTTTACCTCATTCTTTATAAATAAATTTTTATTATATATACTACAATTCAGTTGGTAAAATCTCCGAAACCAGTCTACTTTTCATCTTTCTTCAGTGGTTGTATTGATGACAATGGTTAAATTATTATCTAGGAGTCGAATTAATGAAAACCATCCAAAAACTACTGCGACTATAGGTTTAGCAAACCCTATTATTCTACCTAGGATCAAATTTTTGATTTACAAGACGTGGATGAAATAGTTTTGTTTAGTGAGGACTGAAAAAAATACAGATTCTTCTGACTCCTTTAAGCAACAATAGGAGTATATTTGGAATGAGATTCTCTACCTCTAATTACGAAATCCTGCCTGAGGACTGCTCTTTGTCAGCTAATGAATCAAAGATGGGGGCGAATTAGGTGAGTGGGTCGATTACTTTACTTATCTGCGATTATACGCAATGCACTATATAAATATAGCATTGATTGATGAAGTATTAAAACCTCATCAACTGAGGTGGTTCGCATGTGTTACATATACCCGATCACCATCAATCTGGACTGGCGTTGTTATCTGTTGTCGAACTGATATGTGAGAAAACTTGGAGTGACCAAACCTAAAAATTGTATCAGTCTATAAAGTCATCAACATTTGAACTAGGATGAAACGACCGTCCTGCGTTTTCAGGTTTTCAATTGTGGTCTAGCTTAAATCGTTTTGTGGTGTCAATAACAAAATCACTTCATTACATTTTATAACTGCTAAATGTTAAAGGAAAAAGAAGCAACAAATTCAATTCTAGATACAATACACATAAAAGTTTCTATAAAACACCACGTCGTATAAAGTGGATGTACATTTGACCTATACATTCACGAAAAGAAATTACATGCCATATTTTATTACATTAATTGATGCATGTAGATGTAAATATGCGTATGTATGTATAACTAAGGTAATAAATTTGATTAGGCAATATAAAACATTGGTTTTGAAAAAATTAAGAGAACTTTTTAGAAGTTTGGTATTTGTATCTGTCGGTATTTGATAAACCTATAGATGCGAGAGTTATGTTATACAATATGCCCTTATGTGCCAGGGTAATTTTACATTGGTTTTCAGAAGAACCAGACACCACCCAGACTTTCGCGTGACAACCCAAACAGCACAGGTCAATCCCGCTTAACAGGAGGGCTTGATACCGCCCAGGATTACATTTTATAACGCGTATAGTACGGCTCAATCCCGCTTCACAGGAGAACCAGACACCGTATAGGCTTTAACGTCACAATATGAATAGTACAGCTCAATCTTGTGCCACAACCACACAGGTACCAAGCACCCTGGTGAACCATTCGCACCATTCATATACACATCCACATCACATGTATAGTTATTCCGATCAATGATCGCATGAATCAGTTATGCGCAACACGAACAGGTCAAAATTTATCTATTCCACTTACACGACAGTCAAACTCATTAATGTTAGCAATGGCGACATGCCTTACAATGTCCCAATGACAATAGTCCTTGAGAACACTGAAAAGCGATCACTAGTATGAATGAAATCGGTTAACCAGCAAACCAATTCTGTGCATGAACAGTCAACAAAAATTTCCAAAGCAATGCTGAACCATCTACAATACCAATGACGAACCTCCAGTCTCATATGAGACCTTCAGCGACTTAAACGTTTTAATTAATAATGACAAAATAAATCAATTAATTAGTCAGAAAAAAATAACTATATACAACAATCAATGTAAAAGTTAATGCATAGAATGATAACAAGCTATAGAAGTTGATCAGTGAATAACAATGTCTTAAGCATCAAATATTCTAGAAAAATAGAAGAAGAGGCTTTAATTATCATTGATTATACTTTTTCAATGTATTATAATAGTAATCATTATATTTATTAACAGTAAGTTGGGTAATTAAAGAAAAGAAAAAGAAAAAAGAAAGAAAACAATTACATTCTAATTATGAATAAATGAATTAATGTTGTAACATACTTGTCATTAATGTTGAATATTCATCTACATAACTTCGATCACGGTTCTGGCATGTGCTATCTGTATTATAGTAATAATAATAACAACTTTATTAAATAAATAATATTCCGAATATTATAAATTATTTATACAGTATATAACAATGTTATGTAATATGATCAGCCTAATTCTTCTTTAATCATTCCTATTGAATATAAATTGTATTAGTTGTATTGAAAATACTTCAATTGATAAAGGAATTTTGTTGTTGTTGTTGTTGTTGTTGTTGTTGTTGTTGAAAATTGATATTCACAAACAATCTTATGGCATATAATCAACTTGATTTATTTAAGCATCAATATATTCTCATAAGTAGTATTGTTGTATAATGTAATCATTTAAAATAAATTACATTTGTACAATTATATCAACTTTAATTTATATTAACAGTATAGAATTGTGGAGATTATTAAGCTTTTGATTAAGATCATGAATTGATTGATGTTAAATCATCATTGAAAAAGATCGTCTAGTGATTTCAAATTCTCAGTGATGGTCTAATATCAATCGGTTCATGATCTTAAAAAAATTTCCTTTATTAATACATGAGAATAGGGGATATCATTCACTAGGTTTTTTTTCTATAATGACAACAATTGTTCATTGTTTGATTAGTTAAACTCCACAGTGTTTCATAAGAAATTGTTTGTAGTAATATGCATATATTAAGCATTAATGATTAGTTGCTAGGTCAGTTTACATTATAAGGTAAATAAGAAAATTAATGATCAACGTATTTATTCTTGTAGATTTTTAATTATAACCCTTAAAATCAATCATGAATATTTTAGTAATTCACTACTGGCTTTATCTGTATTCTGAATTTTCTTGATTACCTACGGTAAGGGTTAGACATGTTCTAAGAACTGTTCAATAAATATGAGTAAAATGACTATTTTGATTATAGTATAGATTCTAGTAAACATTAATGAATAGAGTAGAACATTAAAGATGGTTAATGTCAAAAAGATTCTATAAATTAATTATATGTGTTGCTTATAGCAGTTTGATTTTAAGATTCTGTATATTGTACGCATACAACAAGTTATTAATTAACTAAAGTCCTATTGAGTTTAAGATATTTCAATTTGACTATAATGATCAATGTAATTAAAGCAGATTCAATGCATTTAAACATAGTTTTGATTTATATGTGATGTTGAATAAATCTTTATTCATCATTTTTATCTTCTCCTCTGTTACTAGCTATATCAGCTTTTTCTTAACTTATAACGACTATTGCATAAGTGATTGTGATTACGTAAGAGACGTAGAGATAACATCTATGATTGCAACGCTATGAAATGAAGATTATATATATATATATATATATATATATATATATATAGAAGAATTTTCTAAATACGTTAAACGTCTTGATACACATAATGAACGGATGAGTATTAGTTAACACAAAAAAGATCAGTAATTTCTTGTCGATTACATTTAATTATCTAACAAGCGATGAGTATTTAGTTAAGACAGAATATACAAAAATATACAAATAAAATAGAAAAATGTAACTTTTCACTTTTTTCTCTCGATTACCTGATGTAAAGCACACTTGTGTATAACCCATACTTCTAGCTTTGTTTACATTGGCATTGGATGCATCAAACACTGATGGAGCGATCATAACAAATGTTGGTAGAGCGACGGAAGCAGCAGCCAAAGCAATGGCCACTGCCAAAATTATAAAACCTGCAATTATCCAACTTCGTGTATAATTTAAAGCTTTAAAATCATAGTCTTCTTCAGTTGCAAATTCCGAATTGTCTTTAAATTTCATATCTATGAAAACATAAATATAATTAATCTCATATGTTAAACCATTTATATTAATTTGGATGAAATATTTCAGTTTTACGTTGTGTCAAATTACTTCCTGCCATTTTAAATAAAAATAACATTAAACTAATTTAGTCATTTTGATTTGATGTCGAAAGCAATTAAGTTTCACAGATGGGAAATTTCTCACAGACTGAAACCAATTCATATCATAGATATTAGCTGTCTCTTTTTGCTATCAGGTTGTTTCAGTGACTTATTAAATTTGGACGATGTAATAGATCGTCTAGCATAAATAAAGGAGATAATCTAGTCGTATCAAAAGCGAATAATGAAAAAATTCCGATGCGTTATTTCATTCCAACTAAACTGTTTACGATTATGTGGTTTAAATATCAATTACCATGAAATTTCTAATGGCGCCATGCGGGTAAGCATTACTTACTTTAGAAACATTCAGTTGTTTGATTTCTGTTCTGGAACTAAGTTCAATATCTAATAACCAACAATTTAATTAAATGGCAATGTTTCGTATGACAAGTCTAGTTTGTTGATACTAAATTCTATGTTAAACTATGCTTACATGAAGATCACATATCTAAGAGCCTATAAATCTCACCTTATTCATAAACGTTAGATAATTATTTGTATAGTTACGTCAATTTCAAAATTATCATGAAACTTGACACTTTTGATGAATGATAAACTTCTCAGTTTATAAAATCATAGTTGGCTTTCTAATACAATTTAATATAACTCTGAAACTAACCACACAAAAACTACTCAACCGTAAACCTTCTGTCTAACGTTAAACCAATCAAACGTCTGAAACTCCATTTAATTGGAATCTACTCATACAATTTAATGGTAAGTTTGATTACTTTAATGTCATTGATTTGAGTTTTCAAAGGTGAATGTTTGAAAATGGAACAATTATCGTCTTTTTTCATGAAGCTCACTTATATTGGTTATCTGTTCATTGATTTAATAGTAAGCATATCAACGAACTGATAAAAATGTATATTAGGTTTCTCCTAGGCACTGTATAAGTTTCACAATTGATTAATCACTGGGTGGTGATCAATGTCTTGGTCGATAGCATTCGATCTACATTAAGAAAGACTTGACACACATGACATTGATCACCACCCAGCGATCAATCAACTGTGATTACAGCTCAGTCCTACAGGAGGTCGGTCATTGCCCAGATAGCCCAGTGGTAGCGTCTCTGACTGGGAATCTGGGTGACACGGGATCGAATCTCTTAGGGAGCACTAGTTCCCTCAAGATTGTAGGTACACCTTGCTGACGAGTGCCAAGTAGCACGAAACCCGAGTACAAGGTTTCCTGTTGACTACCTCCAACCACCATCTAATTGTTTAAGTTTTGTGGTTACATACTATAGTACAATATGCTAGTAATATACTTCACTAGCTTTCACTCAAGTCAAGGTTCCAAATAGTTCTACTTTACGAATCCATTATTTATTTCTTTACATCTTATAAGTATCTTTCAGTGTTATAACTAATTTACCACTATCTTATTCTCATTACAATATTATGAATTTCCAAAAAGCCGGATAATTTGTACTAGCTCAAAGAAGTATTCATAATCTCAAGAAAAATCAATAAAATTTCTCATCTGAAATTACAAAACAAAAGAAATCAATATAACCAAAAGTTTGATGAATACAAATTTTAGTACACATTAATTGATTAATGGGATCTCTATTTTTAAATAATAAAATCAATATGAATAGAAGTACATCTTTCATATATATCCATAAAATTCTCACAAAATATTCAATATCTAAGTATTTAAAATTTATTTTAAATCATTTATGAGTTAGTTGCTAGAATAGTAAATCAAATGAAAATCAATAAGAGAATATAGAATATGGCATAGATACATTGAATAAGTAAACAATGGATGAACCAGTTACAATAATATAGATACTAATTCTATTTTATATTGGATAAAGTATAATAACTACAAATTATGATAAGGTCATCATCATATATTCACTTATCTCCCTTTTATTTAATGCTGACTCAATAGTAATTAATTACATCATAAACTTTATATTCAGTAGTACTCATTTCTTGAATATTATTGAAAACTGTCATAGAATAAGTTGATACATGTAAATTGATCAATGACCTTGGTAACATAACCTTTAAATACATTCAAGGTAGTAAACTCAAAATCACTTGATCTTGATGGGAGTAGAATGTGAATGAATGAATGAATTGATCAATTCATTTAGATAATTCAATTCAATATTAAACTACAAATATTTATGATATAATTGTTTATTCACAAAAATACTAGAAAATAAAATTGTAGATATCTACTTTATGTATCTAGTTAATTGATTCAATAGTTGAAATCATGAGTCAATTAAAGCTAGATCACCATGGAAAACCTAGAAGCACTGGACGGCCGTTTCATATTAGTATGGGACTCCTCAGCAGTGTGCATCCACGATCGCGCCCCCCTGCGACGTTCGAACCCAGGACCTATCAGTCTCGCGCGCAAGCGCTTAACCATCAAACCGCTGAGTCAACATCCAACGGTGTTGATGTCTCATAATTTCAACTATTGAAATTACTAAAACCTTCACAAAAACCCTTCTGATAAATATATGATTGTCAGTTTGGTGGTTGTGAAGATTATTACTGAGATCATGAACTGATAATTATCTAAATAAGGTTGATTCATAATCTCAAAAAGATGATTATCTATATGATCAGCAGAGAAAAAAGTTTCAAGTATTTACTCATGTAAACTCAGTACCATTGTCCCATTTTTTGAAGAGATTTGTCTTTCCATTATCAGTTATATGTTTGATTAGTTTATTTTTGTTTAACTGCTTCAAAAGGCCAATGGAAAGTATTTATAATATTCAGATGTTACATTCAGTTTTAATTTAATGTTATAACATTTTATAAATGTATTTTAGCTTTATGAAGGTGTTGATTATGAAGCTGAGAAATCTATTTGACTGAAATAAAATAACGTAGACTTCTTCATAATGAAAGTATGAGAACGAAAATAAACAGGTGAAATAAAATTCATTTTGTATACCTAAATGATTAGTTATAAATTACCAAGTGTGTTCTAGTGATCATTTCCATAGGTTAAAAATGAGCTTAAAACCATTGAAAACAATTACAGACTATTGTTAGTTGATCAGAAAACTTCTTATAAAAGGTAGATGATAATATTATAAAGGGTAAATAGACTTCATATGATTTTACATACTGAATATTTTGAAGTCTTCTAAAGCTTTTTTCTATTCATTCAAAGATGGATAGTGGCTAAGAGTGAAATCCAGGACGCGCGTCTCGTCCTATTTTTGAACACTCCAGTTGGGTGTACCCGCATCCCAGGGTTGATGTTCACCCTGGTACTCGGACCCAGTACCGTTCGCTTCGAATGCCATCGCGTTGTCCACTTAGCTACTGAGTCCTGATAGTCACCTGCTTGTGCGACGGGGTGAGTTTTCAAATTCACTTGGTGCTGTTTTACTTAAGAAGATACAAGTAAAACAACACCAAGTGAGTTTTTTCTGTCTGTTAATCAGCAAGACAACAAAATGAGAATTCATTTATATTGATAGAAATTACCGGTCTTCTCAAACTTTCAGGGACGCTACCAAAATTTCAAGAGTTTACATATTGTTCTTGGGTAAGGTTATTGGCAAATAATCAATTGTTTATGATTAAGACATGGGTATAGAGTTGATTTGAGTGTTATATACAATGTACATACAAAACACTTAACATTCTACGCTCTTTTAATTATCACTTTTACTCCATGATGGTAAAAAGTTATTGTTTATATTATCATTTTAAACATTCTGTGCACTATCCAATTGTATCTCTTACGCTTATTATTCATTTCATAAGTTAAAAGTTATTCAATGTCATCTTTGATTCTGATTTCCTAGTTCCTATTACTACACTTTTGACATTACTCTTTCATGTGATTTTAAATTATAAAATATGAAAATCTAAAGAATATAAACAAACAAGACATTGAAATATTTAATGTTTGTCAAAAGATAAGTTGAGAAATAAACTGTTTGAAATCATTTACAAACTAATCTTTATAGAGTTACGAAAGAATATTCTGAATAATACATTTGATTGTATAGGACAAGTTTAACATTATAAGTAAAGATGGATAGCTAATAAGCACAGTATATACATATGCTGTCCTAAAAATCAATCAGAAGATTCAAGGGAGAATATAATTTATGGACGAACCAATCAGGTATAAGATAACGAGTCTCGGATTTTGGTGTGAAATTCACTAATATCCATCTGTCCGTATAGCGTCTTGACATTTTAACTGATGTTAGTTCATGATGAAAAGCCGTAAATCTAATTCCTAACCGTAACCATCAACTGTAAATCATAATCCTTATTCTTCAAACTTCTTTATGACTCTCATTTAGCCCTAGTAAGTAGGTAGACACTCACAAGGTCACTTTGGCATCGCTCAAAGGTCGTCCATAAGATGCAGTGTTATTTAATCATGCATGATAATCTATGTAGAATCTATATATTATTCAAATGAGTTAGATGCTTTCTCATTGAATAAGAAAATGTCGATGTATGCTGATAAAATATATGAGACAGTCTACTAGGTGGTTGTACGTAGATAACAGAAAAACCCGATATCTATGTTCCATACTGGCTGAAACTCGTCAGCAAGACATCCCAGCATTCCTGACGGAAATGACGTTTACTGTAAGATCCGAATGTATGTTGTTCAAGTTTAGATTCTGTGACTTTAGCACTAAGTTATGTAGCTTCCTTTTGACTAACCCCAACCAATTAATACATGAGTAGGTAATTCACATGATGACCAGTCAGTTAGACTAATTACTAATAGTCAACTTGGTAGACAGAATTCAATCAGTACTAAAGAATTGAAAAATATGATAATGATCACTGAATGGTGATCAATTAATGTAAGATAATATAGATCACATT